TTTTCAAAAAGGTTGGATCCTGAGCCTGAAATTAGAGCCGGAAAACGAGTTCTTATTTGTCTAGTTCTCGCATGTAGCAGTTCTCATTTTCCGAGTTCTCATCCCTGGTACCACCGAATATTCAATTATTATGTAAACGTGGTGAAAAAAAATTGTGAATGAAAGAAATCCAAGTGGCAAACATTTTTTTTTTAATTATAGAAACTTTTAAAATTATAAAAAAAACGTGTTAAAGGTGGGGGGACAGGAGATTTTTCGTAGTTTTTTTGTAGCTAGAGTATGCATTCTACCGTCACGGTGTACAACGCTTAATGCCACTCTGCGTACAGCCGGCGTCCTCGCCTTTATGTATGCAATCGGGCGCCGGCTGCCTTTTTCCCCGCGTGGCTCAGTCGGTAGCGGCGCCGCACTCTCAATCCGCGCCCATGCTAGCTCAACTCCTCGAGGGGCATATTCAGACGGAATTTCGAGAACATTATTTTTTTCTTGTCTCCCCACCTTTAAAAAATACGTGAATTGGTTTAGAAACCTGTGACCCAAGGCCCATTGACCAGAGGGAGAGTACTATAAAGGAGTAAGGAAATGAAATGAAGAATCAGTTTTCTCCTTCTCTGGGCTCCAGAGAAGAGGAATCGAGGGAGGGATCCGGGTCCTGGAGTCCGGGTGCTGGAGCCCGGGTGCTGGAGCCCGGGAGGAGCTGGAGCTGGAGCTGGAGCTGGAGCTAGAGCTGGAGCTGGAGCTGGAGCTGGAGCTGGAGCTGGAGCTAGAGCTGGAGCTGGAGCTGGAGCTGCTGGAGCTGGAGCTGCCGCCGTTTTTTTCTCAATTCCTGGAACTGAAATCAGACAATTCATGCAAAGTGAGAAAAATGTTGAATGGTCTTTGTCGCGGTAGCAAAGGCTTCAAGGATCTTGGAACAATGAACTTTCTGACGAAGGATCCCAAAGCTGAAGCCCATCGGATAGAAGCTGACAACTGAAGTTCTAAATATCGGAGCTTGGTGGACCACGCAGGTTAAGAAAATCCTGACTCAGAACCCTAACATTATAAATAAATTATTGTTGAACCAACTGATCTATTCAAAATGTATTTTTTCGTTTCCTCACAGTTCTTGAAATCGTAATTGAAATCCAATGAATAAAAATTTTTTTCTGAAAATGAAAAAACATGCGAAAATACTAGACAATTTATTAAAACCCAAAAGTTTCTTTTGCAATATAAATGCAAGTTTGTACATAGACGACAATATAGTTCTAGTAAGTTTTGACACATTACACAAAGTTTAAAAAGTGAGATCAATCATTTTCAATCTCGAGATTTTTTTTGTTGACCCGATGACCCAGAATGAACACCCATGGAATAAAAAAAGTAGAGAAGAAAAGGTTATACATGCGCCTGCTTGTTGCTGAAATGATGGCGTGTGGAGTCGCGACCAAATAGGATGGATTTGAAAGCACGACGGAATTCCGTGTTGAAGATTGTGTAGATGATAGGATTCATGAAAGAGTTCATGTAACCGATCCAGGTGCAGTAGAAGAATAGATCATATCCAACCTGGAAAAAATTTATATTTGCTCATCTTTTTCTGGGTGACACTAACCTGACAAGACTCTCTTTCGAGAAGGATGCAAACGGCGTTCAGAATATTGATAACAAAGAATGGTACCCAGCATACAAGAAAGACTCCTACAACCACTCCCAATGTCTTCGTGGCTCGCTTTTCTTTTCGTTGAGCTTTGGAAACCTGAAACTATGAAAGGCCCGCTATTTTCATTCAAAAAATGTATACTCACCTTTCTCTTCAAACTATGCTCATGTTTAATTGCCCTCTTCACCAACTTCACTGCAATTCCATTTCGACTGCTCTTCTTTGAGCCTTTCGAGTCGACGGACCTCAAGCTATCTGCACGTGTTTTTGATGAGCATGTAGTGCCAATTGAATCCATTCGTTGGAGGTCAAGATCTGCAAAAAAGGGTGAGATTTCGAGTATTCTTATAAGTCCTTCAACTTACTTGGCAAACTAGGTCGTGTCAAAATCTGAATTGCAAGTGGAGGATCAACTTGAGACACCCGGCGATTCGGCTCTACACCGCATCCTTTCAGATTGTTCAATTCGTTTCCCTCCATTTCTCGAACAGTCAAGGCAAAGCTGACAGTTGGTTGCATCATGCTCCCTTCTTTTGTTTCAGCAAGAACGTCTTCTAGAACAGTTTCAGTGATCAACGCGGGAAAGTTGGCAATCTCATCTGGAGATCCAAGGAGTTCTGCACCTAAATTATTCACATATATTTTCATCAAAATTCAACATCAATCTCACTATTTGCCGTCGTACTTCTGCTCAACGTCGTCGTTGGAAGGTAGTCCATATCTCGAGAAGCAGAAATAGTTTCGGTTTCTGTTTGAGAGTTGGTTGGTCGGATTGGCATTGAGACTCTTCGATATTCTTTTGGAGACTCTGTGATTGGATTTGCCAGAATCATGGAATGCTTCTTCATGTCTGATTTATCCCTCCTGAATAATCTCGGACTCCTTCTTGAGATTGTTCTGATGATTGAAGGAATCAATGCCTCATCAGGCTGGTTGGTTCTGAAAAAACCAAATGAAATAAACTAAAACACTTCTTACAACACACTCACATCGACGCTGATCTAGAGTTGCTTCTAGAATTACTTCTATCCACTTTCACAACTTTTCTATGGTGCTTTGTGGAATAGTTTCTAGACAGATTTCTGAACCTTTTTTGTCCTTTGATATGGAAGTTTCGGCCGTCTCCAGATGACGTTTGTGAAGACGTTGGCTGGGAATCATCTCCGTATGAAGATCTTCTGAAGATGAGCTGTTTTCAAGAGTTTATTTTAAAAATGAGTACCTGGACATTGTTGTACAGTTTTCTGATACGAAATCATTCGTTATCACATGAACATTTTCCGAAAGTGATTCAATACTTGATCTCGGCGTAGAACTGTTTCCGAATTCCCGTTCATCTGAAATCAAAAGTTGAATTTCAAGATATTATAGAAGTATATCCCAATAGATATTTCATGCTAAACGCAATCCCATTGATGCTCAAGCTGAGTCGTTTCCTGAATAGCTCATGCCCTGTTTCAGAAATCACCGCAACCTTTCTTTTTTTTTACATTTGTAAACCGGTACCTGCCATGGTTTGTTTTAGAATCGATTTTTTGGAACCAATAAAATGGATATGCTAGAACTTGATTAATACCACAGGTGATTCGCGAACAATCCGTTACGGACGCTCCGCGTTCGCGTGCGGTCCGTATGCGGTTCCTATTTCAACCGCGCGCGAACGCGAAGCTTCCGTAACGGACCCGTTCGCATTTTACCTGTGACTACAAATTGATACTATATGAAATACTGTACCTTGTCTATGAACAAAGTTACAAACCAAAAACCGTCTGAGATACGCGGTTACAGCTTCATAGCTTGTAACTTTGTTCATTGGCAAGATACAGTTTTTTGAATATTATCAGTTAGTAGTACTTGCCAAGCTCTATCATATCCAACTTAGTTGATCTGGAAATTATAAATGTTGAAGAAACTATGGTAGGGCACAGTTTACAAGTATGTTTTTTAAAACTAATAGTGAGAATCGCAACTCAACATTTCGCATAATAATTCAAGTCTATTAAATCATGCAAAACGTGCTTGTGATAGGTGAGAGAAGCATCAGAAACACAATCGATGCAGTGAATAGTGGTGGTAGAAGTTGAAGAAGTGCACAGAGAGACCGAGAAAGAGAGAGTAACAGTAAACGCATCAGTGCTGTAGATAGATAGAGTGATAATGACATCGATATATTTCCGACATACTGAGGAGCAAAGGAAGAGGTGGCTGAGCATTGGATGCCTTCGAAGTTGCAGAAGTAGTGGTAGTAGTTGCACGAGCACACGAAGAAGAAGAAGGAGAGGTGGTTGACACGTTTTTCGCGAAGAAGGCGGGCATGCCAGACGCGGAAACAACACTCGGAGCCGCGGAGCTTGTCGTTCCGACGGACGCCGCATTGATGATCCGACGGAGCATTGAGGTCGTTCGAGGTGCCGACGCTTCGACGACGCCTTGACCATCGTCGGCATGATAGTCGTCGTCGTCGTCGGCAGCATCGTCACCCCCACAACACTCGTCCATCACGTCCAGCTCGTCCTCCTCCTCCCACTCTTCTTCACCTGCGAGTTCAATGGCACGACGGTGTCTTTCGAATTGTCTCATCCGACGAGTCATCGATGGAAGTGCAGCCATCATGACGTTCACAACTGGAAACCACGAAACACGTGGATATCGGTTTTGGGTGAGAAAATGTATTACTAGGGAAAGGAATGTTTTTGAATGAAACTGATAAATTCATACAGACTTAAAAACTTTCAGAACGTTCTCTGGGTGAGTTTTGAGGGAAAAAATAACTGATAAAAGTAAGATTTGTTTAGTCTATCTAAATAGGGAGAAGTTGATTAGGTTGAAAAAAAAAACAAAAAAGGGAAGATAATTACGTAAAGGACGCAAAGGACAGGGTGTATAAAGACATAATTATCTGATCTACTAGAAGAAGTAAGGACAAGAATCACAGAAAGTTTTTTTTTTTGGCTGCACAAAAAGCAGTACAATAAGATTACGGTAAGCAGAATAGAGGTTTTGGATCATAATCAGTTAGAAAAGTTAAATCAACGGGTGGCGCACAATTACCCGGACTGATAAAAACGGGTATATATTTAGACATAAGTATCTTGGAAGTACGAAAATTAGTAAAAATGTAATTTTCCGTTTGATTCAAAGCTACTGAAACTTTCAAAGCGATTCCTTAAGTATAGGTATTGTTTTGATGGTCTAAAGATGAAAATGGCAATGTTTCTTGATGATTTTCATGAGATGAAGCAACTTTGACAAGTAACTTGAGCCTATTACAACGCTTCACTCAAATTTTATGCCGGTACAAACTTTAGTCACGGGTAATTATGCGCCACTGTATACTAGTTAGTAAAAGCTTAAAGATTAGTAAAATCTTGAAGATAAAAATCACAAACTTGCTACTTTAAAAGCTACTGAAACCTCAAAAATCAGGATCTAGGAAAACTTTTTCGTATATCTATCAATTTTTAAAACCTTCACTAACCTGGTCCTGCAACAATTCTTCCAGCAGCTTCTTCTTCCACTTGCTCATCTCCGGTATCTGGTCTCATTCTAAAAATTTCCTGTATTTTTTAAAACTGATCCCAGAGTCCCACGTTAATCCATGAGCAATTGTGTTCTTCTCCCGTCGCATTTTTGCTGCCTTCTCTCGCTTTTTCAACGCAATTATGATTCGAATATAGACAAAAAGTACTGTAACAAAAATAGTTTTAGACAACCCCGACTGAGTAACGGAGAACTACCTAAAAAACAAGGAACCACAAACGAAATGAAAGAACTCAGAATTGAGAATTCGGCGTTATAGAAGCGACATTCAAACGGATTTGCGTCTGGAGGCCGGACATTTACACCTGAAACATAAGAAAATTAAAGGAATGAAGGTTTTCATGGGACATACCAAATACCATCGGACTGGCCAAAGTAAGACTAACTAGCCAGATAGCAGCAATCACGTACCATACGCGCTTCACGTTTTGAGATTGTCTAGAATATTGAATCGGAAGGGATACAGCTCGGTATCTGAAAATTATAATTTTGGAAAAAAACTTGCATTTCATGATTTTCAAGATTCAAAGTGAATCATCATTTTCCAAGATGGACATAAATGAAAACTGTCAAAGTTAGGGATTCAGTTCCTAATTCTCTTAATAGAATTTGATTTTTTTTTATTTGAATTTTTAAATACATATGTTAGTGTGTCTTTGAATTACCCCTTCTCAATAGTGAAATTGGACACCTTTGAAAAGTCAAACATTCAGTAGGTTATTTTAGGCTGGCCGAGCCGGTCCGGCCCAACCATCCATATGTTTGAAAATAATTCCGGAAATCTCTAGTTTAGTTTCTTGGAAGTTTCAGTTTTCTGGATATCTTGTTAATTTGATTTCCCCGCACTTGGACACTTTTTCAGAAGACTTGAGTGCATCAAAACCCACCGATCGAATGAAATAACCGCGAGGAGTAGAATTGAAGCTGTACTGCAACACACATCCGAAGCCATGTAGACGTCACACATCAAGTTTCCCAAATACCAGTCTCCATTGGTGACCTGCAAAAAAGGAGCGAAAATTCATTTGACCATGCCCTTCATTTTAAAGCAACATTTTCCCAATGGACCATTGCGACCCCTTGCTTTTTTTTCGTTTTAATCAACTTGAGAAGACGTTGAAGTCAGACGCCACCCCGCTGCGTGGTGGATCTCAGAAGGCAATAAATAAAATAAACGTGCGAAGCGTATCCAATTTGACACTTCTCTCCTCGTCCGTTTTTCCGAATTTCTTCCTGCTTCTTCCACGTCACATCTACACATACACCATCCATCATCACGCCTTCTCCTTTTTGTGAATTCAAAACCTAGAAACCTAACAAAGAAGTATCGTTTGGCACTCTGTCAGTCAATGGAGTTATGTGATAGCTGTCAGGGGATTACATCAACAAAAACTCATGTTCTGTCTCTCTTCTGAAGTTCTTTTTGCCGTTTTTTTTTCATTTTGGACATATGTACGAAATTATATAGTACTGGTGCATGTCCCCTGGATGGTAACCCTGATTTATGACGTGGCAACGGCCGCCGCCACAAAACATCCATGAATCGGTTTGAGCAAAGCTCGGGAGCTCTTGTGAGACACTCAACAAATTACTGCCTTGGTCGCTGATGTCTCTTTCTTTTTTCGGGTGTGTCCCCCTCGTTAGAAGGGGAGAGGTAGGGAGGGGAACCCAGGACGAAGAGAACACGTCACTTCAGGAAAAGGGAGATTGGAGACACTGCTACTACTGGTAGGCCAGGGGCACAGAAGAAAAAAGAAAATATAATTGATCACTTACATATACATACACAGCATATGGCATAACGATGATGGCAACCAAAAGATCTGCCACTGCCAGCCCGAGGATCAGGAAGTTAATGGCTGATTGGAGGGCACGGTAGCGGAGGACGGAAATGATTACCTGAAACTTTTTTTGAATCTTTCAGGTTAAAACTAGCTTTTCGTATTTTTTTCAAATTTCTCTGATATTGCAGTTTCAGTTTTTGTTTAATAAGGACCCGGATAGCGAATTTTGATTGAGTTTTTAAAAATTGTAGTTTTAAAATTGCATCTTTTCACTGATACTGAGAAAGCTTTGCTCCAAAGAAAAGGGATGAGTTATGCCGATACCACCGTAAGCTTAGAGTGTCACCCAAACCGTTCATTTTGAGCTTATATATCTCGGTTCCTGTAAAAGATATCAAAAAGTATTAAACTGATAAAGTATTTTTGACATTATGATAAATAATTTATCAGTGGACCGCTTTTTTATATCTTTCACAGGAACCGAGATATATGAGCTCAGAGTTAGAGGTTTGTGTGTCCTTTTATTACAGTTTACGGTAATTCTTGAAATCCGAACTGTCAATTTGAAGCCTATGTATCTCGGTTTCTGTAAAAGATATTAGAAATTGATCAACTGACAAAAGATTTTTGATATTATGATAAACATTTTGTTAGTTGTCTACTTGTTTACATCTTTCACAGGTACCGAGATATATAGGCTCAAAGTTATAGGTTTGGGTGGCCCTCTATGGTTTCCGGTAAACCCCTAATCCCACCACTAATGAACAATATCAAATGATCAAATGTATCTGAATCATTCATGTAAATTTTATATATTCAACAATTTTAATTTGTTTTCAATTTGTTATTTTTTCGGAAAAACGGGGGTGCAACCATCTTTAGCCTAACCATTAAAAATGCAGACCTACACTACAAATTCGAATTTAATTGGACAAAATGAGTCAGCTGGCATCAGAAATGCACACTTTACGGTTTTGATTTTTGAATTCTTGTTTTACTATTAGTTTCAGAGTTCTAGACTGGAATGCCCCTTTCTAGATGCTTCTGGAAGTCTCAACCTACTCTAAAAGTGTGATTTATAAAGGTTACCTAGACACATCACTTTAACATTTCAGATATTTGTGTTTCTGTTTTCTACACATCAACTTGGCATTCTAAACCTGAAAAAATACGACCTTAATAACATGAAATTTTGGTTTTTCGATTCTATTTTTCTTGGAATCAAATCATTTTTAAACTAGTCTGACCTTTAAAAAGGCGTGGATATTTTAGCTCAACCAACAATTTCCTAGAGAGTTCAAAAATATTTAAACGAACCAGAAGGTTTCCGAGCAGAGTGATGAGTGGAATAACAATAAGAAAGAGTCCAGCATAGTTCAGCGGAATCCCACTTCCAGATGTCGATTCAGGAGGTTCGGAGGTGGTCGTGAGGTTGGGTGGAGGCCATTCAAGGGAGACATTCCATGTCTCACCGGCCTCCATTTTAATGGTCCAGGATCACCTGTAAATTTTGGATTTTTTGGAGCCAATAAGAAACAAAAAGGAGTAAAAACTGAAAAGTCAAGAAAAGGAATAAAAGTGCATTTGAGATTGATGAATAGAAGAATCTCTGCCAGTCAGCCAGATGATTTATAAATTTCTCACGAATTGAATATTCAACTCATCGGCGCCCCAAGGGTCCAATGATTGAGGAGATGAGTCTTTGAAAAAAGAAAAACCAAAGTGCAAAGGGAAAACTATGTCTAGATTTGTCTAGAAGAGATTCTTATCTTTCGAAAGTTGAAATTCAAAAGTATGAATGTCTTCTCTTCTCATGTCTTCTACCTATATCCATTTTTCTTTTTACTAAATAAAGAAAAACGGAGAGAGATAGAATGGGCGGAGTCTCAAAATACGAGAAGAAGAAAAAAGAAAGAGCAGCGAGACGGGGAGCATAAACGAACTCTGAGATGGGGTGGTAGGGGGACAAAAAGGGACTAGAGGAGGAGCATCTGGGGATGGTGGACACCAGAAAAAATATGTGCGCATAATTTGCAGAAGACGTTCACTTTGGTGAGAGGTTCCAGTCTAAATTGGGCGTTACGTTTTTTGTTGTTGTTGGGATGGGAGGGTCAATTTTATTCGGAATGTGAAAAAAGAAGGATTCGGAATTAAAGTATTTAACTAGTCAGTGAGGTTCGAAAATAGAAAAAGTACAGGAGAAAGGAAGCTGAATCATATTTTTGAGGTCAAATTATTTATGTTTTCAAGTACTTTTCGGTATATTTTTGATCAACTGAAAATTCCAATGTTTTGGATTTCATGTAGAGTCATATGAATATTTTGCATATGCTAAATACCACAATTTTCAGAATAATTTCCTATCCATTGGGGTCATTTTCATAATAATTCTTTTGAGTGGGAAATTCTTGGAATCAGAAAATACAATTTTCCAGAATTTTTATTCGTTTATGATTCGTCAAACAAGACAAAGAACATTTTTCATGACAAAAACTTCAGAAAATCATATTACATTGGGTGGCAATCCAATATTCCGGAGTCAATATTTTGAATCTGTATCTCGGCGAGCAGTTTGGGCTCGTGACGGTTCGACCACCGAAGGATAATGTAAACACTTTAATAGAACGACCTCCCAAAGATTCAACTTTGAGCCAATTCATCTCGGTTTCTGGGAAAGATTTCAATAATGTTTCAACTGATAAAATATTGATGATTTTATGATAAACATTTTGTCAGTTGCCCACTTTTTGACAACTTTTACAGGAAATGAAATATATGCGCTCAACGTTGACAATTTAGGTAGGCTGATGTTAGAGGAAGTACGGTATAACAGTTTGATAACCGACAGGTATGCGGCTGGTGATTTTTTTTAAAATTAATTATTTGAAAATGTGTTCCAAAAATTATAGATTGCCTTTCAAACTCTGGCATCATGATATTCAAACTTTGAAAACTTGCTAGCGTCCTAACGGAAAAGTATAACAGATTCAATGTGCAGTAAAATGAGCAGTTCTGTACAAAATTTTCGAAAAAAGTAGGTTCATTTCACACCCTAGCTTCTTCTTGACCTATTTTTCAAAAAAAAAATGCTATTACAACTTCGTAAACTATCGGAAACAATTTTTCATTTTACTAAAATTTTACTGGAATATTTCCAAACCATGTAAGAGCAAAAGATGAACAATGATCTTATTGTCACTTTTATCTCGGCAAATCTCAAAAAACGCAGAGATTTGGATTAACCTTTAAAATTGCGAAAAATGATGAAGAAAGAAAAGGATAAATCTGGAACAATGAATTTCATTGAAAATGAAAGTTTCTTGGAAGAAGAACAGATATATGTTGATGAAAGGAGAAGAAAAAAAAAGAAGAATGGAATACAAACACACACAAAACACATTCATCCATGCAAATCTCACATACATGCTCTTCTTTTTTACGCCACTCATCAATTATCAATTTGGAAGAAAAAGAAAAGAAAAAAACAGAGGAGGAGAAGGGGGCAGTGACGAATCAATCTGTAATTGGGAAGAGCAAAGGCAAAAGATGGTCCAGAAAGATAAAAAATAATTTTTTCTTTCATGGAAGTTGTGTTCTTTCGTAGAATTAGTTAAATGAGTTTAGACCAGAAAAATAAAACTTTTGACTGATTCATAAAAAATATATGCAGTCCAAAAAGGCAAAAAACACATGAACACCAACGCAATTCAATTTTCGCCGAAGAAAAGAAAAAAGAGGCAAGGTGTGATTTTACAAACATTGATCTCCAAGAAATCAGTCAGAATGAAATTTCGTTAGTTTTAGATGAACTTGACTTGGTCGGAGTCGGAGAATCGGATATCCGACTACTGTATTTCCAATAATAGAAGCTCTCCAAACCGCCAACTTTGAGTTCAATTATCTCGATTCCCTTTAATTGCCCTTTAATAGAAGGGCATCTCAATTAGAAGGATCCCCGAGGGGAGGGGCTTGGAAAATTAAAGGGTCAAGATAATAAAAAGACTATTTAAAAAAAAAGACTAAAATAAGTTGTTTGAATTCAATATTTTTCTGTGGAAATAATTCCGAAGATTCCGAAATTTCACAAAAACTTTTTTAAAACGCTCAATTTTGATGTAATAGACGTTTATGAATTTTGAACGAGAATTTTCCAAATTTTTGGCTTTAAAATTTCGAAAAAAATGGTAGAAGAAATAGAAGGACCCTCTTGAAAAAAGAAGTTCAAAGATTTTGCTCAAAGATTTTATTTCAGAATTTGATGATCTAATTCTCCAAAAAATAAATTCTCTGACCACGCCTGCATTAGACTCAAATAGAACTTCAAAAATTGTAATTAGATGAGAAAGAAGACTGAAAAGGGCTTGTTAACTAGCATTTGAAACAAAAATGTTTATTCAATTGACAATTGTTCTCGGATTAAAATAGAATTCGGTTGAACTCGAAAAAACGTTTTTTAAATCTAAATCAAAAGATGAAATCAAAGGAGGCCAGACACCAAAAAAAGTTTTCCTGATATTTTGCATAGAGAACCCCCATGAGGGGTTGAACTCGTGACAGGCAGCTCAGGGGTACAGCGCCGCTACCGGCTGAGCTACGGGGGCGCGAAGGCGCCTGACGACCGATGGTCATAAGCGCGACGCGATTTCGGCTCCCGAACTGCCCCCGAAATTTTTGCTGTCTCGCCTCCTTCAACCATAAAATTGCATTTGGGTAAGGGAGAGAATTGTCCAGAAGATACTGTAATTGGAATTAGAAATTATCAAATACTCAATTAGCTGAACATCTAAAATTGGTGTATTCTAACGAACTTCAATCTGAGCGTGGGAACACTTCTTCCATCCTTCAGGGACCTCCCATCTCTGTTCTCACAATTTTATGAAGAAGAAAATCTCATCGGTTATCAATTATTCCTATGAACACCGTTACTTTACGACGTCATCGGATCAAAAATAAGAGACTGGAAAACAGAAGAATGATGCCTCCTCTTCTTTTTTTTTTTGAAAATTTGAATAAATAAAGTTCAGTGAAGTGAAATGGTCTGCCTGACACCACCATCACCAACCCACGCCGTCTGTTTGAGTTGTCAAAGATGAAAAGTGTTCAGAAAAAAATGTTTAGTGTCATTAAGCACTAATCTCTAAAGAAAAATATGATAGGGACTGGTTAATCTCTCGAGTATGTAAATCACATAAAATCATTTTGACTACATACTCTGTGGCTCCTGAATGTATCTCCTGAAGACAAAAAAAGACAAAAAGAAACGAAAAGGGGAAGAAAAGGAGAAGAAGAAGCTGGGAGCGAGGGCATAATTGCCGTGGTGATGATGGTGTGGTGGTGGTGTAGGAAAGCAATTCGTATGTGTTTTGTCCATGTGTTCCACGATTTTGTTCATCATCACCGTATGAAGGAAAAGGGAAAAGTAGTGGAAGGAGAAGATGAAGAAGAAATAGAGAACTATTATGGAATAGGGGCAATTGACCCATTCAAAAGTCGGGGATACACTTTCTGAAAGGCACCTTGACGGAACTGAAATAAAACAATGAGGAAGGATATTCGACATTTTGAAGAACCATAATGAATATGGTCCGGAAGAATATAACATTTTGGGGCGTATAAGGAAAATGCAATTGCAGGAAATGGAAAATTTGAAACTAGAAAAAAGCTATTGACTGAATGACGAAGTTTGATAAGCAAAAGAGTATTATTAGAGTGGTAAACCATCTTAAAAATATAGCGTTATTTTTAAATGTCAAAATTACTGCCTTAACGAAGAGATGACTTCAAAAACTATCGTAAAACCTGTATTAGAAGGGCTGCTCTAATAGAAGGGCCGTCTGAGAAGAAACCCTCTTCAAAACCTGTTGTTTGAAGTTAATAACTTTTGTACGTTTTCGGTGAAAAATATTCCGGAAATTCCGAAACTTTACAGAAATTTGTTGGATACAGAGTTTTGAAAAACTTGCTGAATTAATTGATGAATTTTCATGCATTTTGAACGAGAATTTACCGAAAATGTTTGGAAAAAATTGCCAGAAAAATAGAAGGGTCGCTGTAATTGAAGGGCCTCTCTAATAGAAGGGTCGACCCTTCTAAAAAGGTTTTACGATAACTTACCGTATCTCCTGGACTAATAGAAGCCCACCCAAACCGTCAACTTTGAGCTCAATTATCTCCGTTCCTGTGAAAGATATAAAAAATGTGTTAACTGATAAAATATTGGTGATAATATGATTAATATTTCATCAGTTGAAAAATTTATGTTAATTTTTACAGTAATCGAGATAATTGAGCCCAAAAGTTCTTACACACTATCTAAGGTAAAGAATCCTGAATAGCTGGACGAGTTCAAATGGAATACATTTGTACTTCGTACACAACTTTTTTTCCTTTTTGATTCATTTCTGGACACAACTGAAACGCGAAACGAAGAAGAAGAATGAATTTCTTCCTCTCGAGCAAGTTTTCAATCTTTTTCGACTTGA